AGAAGCACTGGACCATATGTGGCAGCAATATTCAAAGCATGGATGAATGGTAGACTTATAAATATGTAAGATAGATTCTGGATAGAAACATTGCAAATTCCTCTTTGGATTTTATCAAGAATCTCTAAATATATAAGGAAGCACTGGACCATTTTATTCAAGATGAATGGTAGACTTATAAATATATAAGATAGATTCTGGATAGAAACATTGCAAATTCCTCTTTGGACAAGAATCAAATATATAGCAGAAGCACTGGACCATATGTGGCAATATTCTAAGTATGGATGAATGGTAGACTTATAAATATGTAAGATAGATTCTGGATAGAAATATTGCAAATTCCTCTTTGGATTTTATCAAGAATCTCTAAATATATAGCAGAAGCACTGGACCATATGTGGCAGCAATATTCAAAGCATGGATGAATGGTAGACTTATAAATATGTAAGATAGATTCTGGATAGAAACATTGCAGATTCCTCTTTGGATTTTATTAAGAATCTGGACCATATGTGGCAGCAATATTCAAAGCATGGATGAATATTATAAATATGTAAGATAGATTCTGGATAGAAACATTGCAAATTCCTCTTTGGATTTTATCAAGAATCTCTAAATATATAGCAGAAACTGGACCATATTCTAATATTCAAAGCATGGATGAATGGTAGACTTATAAATATGTAAGATAGATTCTGGATAGAAACATTGCAGATTCCTCTTTGGATTTTATCAAGAATCTCTAAATATATAGCAGGACCACCATATGTGACCATGGATGAATGGTAGACTTATAAATATGTAAGATAGATTCTGGATAGAAACATTGCAAATTCCTCTTTGGATTTTATCAAGAATAAATATATAGCAAAGGACCATATGTGGCAGCAATATTCAAGCATGGATGAATGGTAGACTTATAAATATGTAAGATAGATTCTGGATAGAAATATTGCAAATTCCTCTTTTGGATTTTATCAAGAATCTCTAAATATATAGCAGAAGCACTGGACCATATGTGGCAGCAATATTCAAAGCATGGATGAATGGTAGACTTATAAATATGTAAGATAGATTCTGGATAGAAACATTGCAGATTCCTCTTTGGATTTTATCAAGAATCTCTAAATATATAGCAGAAGCACTGGACCATATGTGGCAGCAATATTCAAAGCATGGATGAATGGTAGACTTATAAATATGTAAGATAGATTCTGGATAGAAACATTGCAAATTCCTCTTTGGATTTTATCAAGAATCTCTAAATATATAGCAGAAGCACTGGACCATATGTGGCAGCAATATTCTAAGTATGGATGAATGGTAGACTTATAAATATGTAAGATAGATTCTGGATAGAAACATTGCAAATTCCTCTTTGGATTTTATCAAGAATCTCTAAATATATAGCAGAAGCACTGGACCATATGTGGCAGCAATATTCAAAGCATGGATGAATGGTAGACTTATAAATATGTAAGATAGATTCTGGATAGAAACATTGCAAATTCCTCTTGTAGACTTATAAATATGATTTTATCAAGAATCTCTAAATATATAGCAGAAGCACTGGACCATATGTGGCAGCAATATTCTAAGGATGAATGGATTATAAATATGAAGATAGATTCTGGAGAGAAATATTGTTCCTCTTTGGATTTTATCAAGAATCTCTAAATAAATGGACCATATGTGGCAGCAAAAGATAGATTATAAATATGTAAGATAGATTCTGGATAGAAACATTGCAAATTCCTCTTTGGATTTTATCAAGAATCTCTAAATATATAGCAAAGCACTGGACCATATGTGGCAAATATTCTAAAGCATGGATGAATGGTAGACTTATAAATATGTAAGATAGATTCTGGAGAGAAATATTGCAAATTCCTCTTTGGATTTTATCAAGAATCTCTAAATATATAGCAAACACTGGACCATATGTGGCAGCAATATTCAAAGCATGGATGAATGGTAGACTTATAAATATGTAAGATAGATTCTGATAGAAACATTGCAGATTCCTCTTTGGATTTTATCAAGAATCTCTAAATATATAGCAGGAGCACCAGACCATATGTGGCAGCAATATTCAAAGCATGGATGAATGGTAGACTTATAAATATGTAAGATAGATTCTGGAGAGAAACATTGCAGATTCCTCTTTGGATTTTATCAAGAATCTCTAAATATATAGCAGGAGCACTGGACCATGTGTGGCAGCAATATTCAAAGTGTGGTTGAATGGTAGACATAGATTCCAGAGAGAATAATTGTCTGGCACATTACAGTGAGCCAATTTTTTTAGCAGCTGAACTAGCAATGGATTATTTTTACCAAAAACAATATATACACACTTCAGTAAAGGAAAAACTTGTCTTTCTTAGGTTTATCAAATTGCGATAACACTGTTTACAGTAGTACAATATATTCTCAACAGATGGATTAACATTGGCGCAAAATGCATATGCAGCCATCCCACTGGACACATTGGACAATGTTGCTCAAGCATTAGTTCGCCATAATAATAAATGTCTGGAAGCTAAAGGCCACTATTTTGAGCATCTCTTGCAATTGTAGAGTCCAAAGGTTACTTGTATTAATCTCATGATGTTTGAATAAAATTAGTATTACAATATCTATAGCAAGTTCTTCCTTTCCAGAAGTGTGTATACATTTTTTGGCAGGCTCTCTGTGTGTGCATATATATATATATATATATATATATATATATATATATATATATATATATATATATATATATATGAGATAAAACTTAGTTTTATTTATATTTATGTGTAAATATATTCAATATCAGGGATAGTGTATGTAAATATAAAAGTCGTCACTGAGGTCAACAGCAAACGGCGGCAATCTGTTTCATGCCTGAGTGCGATCTTTATGCCATGTGTGTTGTGTTCATCTATTTGTATATGCTGGTCAATGGTGCATTATGGGTAACAAGGTCTATTCTATTATTCTAACAGTTATTGAGTGAACAGTAATGGTTATATTTCAAATTATTATAGAGGCTATTAAGTAGAAATAATCCAGATGTGATTAAAGGTTGGCACCAATAAACCGCAGTTGTTGGGGTCCAAAATTTCTATCCACGATTTAGATGGTCTGTGGTTTAGATCATAAGTGAGCTGTGATGTTAAGATTACCAGCTTAGACCACCAAAGCAAAGCTCATCAAGTCCATGACACTGTGGCTAAGCATGCAAAATGCATATTCAATACTAAGAGTTGAATATTGGCAGTTTTGAAAAATATTTATTAAAACTATCTTTTAATTTCACATAAAAATCTGCACCAATATGAATAAATTTGAAAGATGATGGCCTAAAATGATTCCAATTATAAAGCGCCATGCCAATAGCTCCATCATCGATGACAACAAAAGATGGTGGAAATCTTGTACGCACAAGATTTTAACAAGAAAAAAAATTAATTAATTTTTTTATAGTTTTATTAAGATTTTGAATAAAAACATTACATTGTATTGTAATCTTACTTATTATAAAACGCAGATTGTGCGTGTCTGTACGTTTATATATTGGATCGGATTTGCTACATTTTTCAACCAATTTCAAGAAAACTTCACAGGACTACGTAAAATTACCTTGCAGTAGTTCTGACAGCGCCAAAATTTTTGCATGAAATCAATTTGAAAACACAATTAAGAGGCATCACGAATGAAAGGGCGACAACTCATATTGAGTTATACTTATTATAAAACCCAGGTTGTTTGTATGTGTGTGTGTGTGTGTGTGTGTGTTCCTTTATATATGGGATCGGATTTCCTACATTTTTCAACCGATTTCAACAAAACTTCACTTTTTTTTTTTTTTTTGGCAGGTAGTGTTTCTTATTGTCTTGCACACTTTTTTCTTTATTTTTACATTCAGAATGCTTTAAAAATTTCATTTACAAGACAATTGTTTATAATAAAATTCTATTCAATCGGTAGACTCATAACGATTGAAAACAATGTTTTTGTTTGAGTTTGGGATTGACCAATTCGTAAAAAATAACAAAAAAAAAAACTAATTAAGACATGCGTGTCCGTCAACCTTAAGCAATAATCTTTGTCAATTTTATTTTTCAGTCTTTATGATGGTCGATACTTGATCTATCTCTTACTATTACATCCCCGGGCAACACCGGGCTCTACTGCTAGTGTATTAATAAAAATAATATGACAATACAATGTAGTAACATCTACATATAAGCACAGGTTTCTGTGCAACATAATGATACAATACAAATTTTACGAAATTAATACGAAACATTTTTAATAAATTTACATTTTTGTACGTAAAATGGCTCTTCTCAGCAGGTTATATAAATTATTTGGAAAAGCATATTACCGATATTAAAGTAAATCCTGTTGAATAAATATGTGAAATTTTTAAGTTAGGATAAAGGTTGTATGTTGCATATTTCACACTCAAAATATCTATGAAGTGCTAATCCAAACCACTACACAATCGGGAGTGTGAAATGCCAAAGCCTAAACAATAGTAAATGCCTGGGAAAATATGGATATACTTGAAGGTATTAAAACTCAATTTAATGAATTTATTAAAATAAAAGATTATACAGAAAAAAATCAAACTTAAAAAGTGTCACAATCAAGTTTGAATTTGTTTCAAATTGGGATCCACTGATGATTATGATTCTAATATGAACATGACAAAAAATTTGGGGGTCCATTGTGAATGTGAAGCTTAAGTGACATTGTAGTTTATTGGTGCACAGCTTAATGGCACTGACCTGTATTTATAGTTATTTTAAAGCATTGTTTGTTAACTTTTTGCTCATTAATTATATATATGTATGTATTGTAATGTTTCATGTGTATTGATGGAAAATCTTTACTTTTCTTTTGGTAAAGGCTCTGATGACTATGTCCGTTCAGCAATTGGACTTGCTGTAGACTGGCTTGGCAAGAAGATCTACTGGATAGATGCTAAGTATAAGAAGATTGTTGCGATGAACTTTGAATTTACACACAAAGTCACATTGGCGCATGTAAATATTGCACGGGCAATTGCTTTACATCCATGCAAAGGGTAATTTTTTTATTATTCATTTTTGCTTCTGTTCCCCATAAATAACCTCAGTCTGCATTGATTATCAGCATCCAAAAAGCTTACTTTCACTGAGACACGAACCCATTTCAATATATATGCAAAATAGGCATAAGATATGCTTTAATGAAAAATTGTTCAAAATATCCTGCAGCGTCTTTAATTACTTTAACATCCAGAATGTTTTCTTAAACTTATTTGAATATTATCTGTTACTTCCTTACACGTGACATGTATACAATCAAAACATCCTACTGCATCTTACTAACTTTTACAAACTTTAGCATGGAGAATGTTTGCCACACATATTTAAATATTATCTGTTACTTCAATACATGTGACACGTATCTAAGCAATAAGAAATAGACAAACACAACATACCATTAATCTGTGTCTCTTTGCTTTTTATCATTTTTTATTATTTCTATCTTGATCTCTGACGAAGATTTAATAAAGTGAAACATGTTAGATTAAGATCTGTTTCCTACATATTCTTTTACCCATTAATCATATATATATATATATATATATATATATATATATATATATATATATATAAAACCCTACCAGTACAAAAGAATTCTCCTATTACCATATTAGTACAAAAACACACAATCTTAAAATTTAAAAATTCAACCTCAGCGTTGTGACCACACACTCCAAAAAAATTTCTTACAATTAACAATAACACATTTCTAAAAACATTTTTTCGGATTACATCTATATTTTCGTTGTCCTGTATATAGTCTTTTTTTTAAATCTGCTAGTACTTTCAACTTTTATATTATTAACTTTACTAATCTACTTTCTGTATGAATGATTCATTGTAATATAAATTGAACTGCATAACATATTTGAGATTTTATATATATATATATATATACTGTTTATACATTATTTTTTAAAATGTTCTGTTCTTTAATTAAACCATATTAATTATATATACTGGCTTGAATGTTCGTTAAATTTTGTAGAAAATATATGTTAAAGCATTAATCCAAGCTTTGCTTAAATGATAGTTCTCAATGGCAGAGTAGTTATTAATACCAGGTTTAATGGAGGTCCCTCATAAGATGGAGGTCCCATTCCTGCCAGAGAGTGCATATTTTCTACAAAACAAATACAAACTTTCAGGCTGGTAAATGTAATTAATACTGCTTAATTAAAGAACAGACCATTTACTTAAATAAATGGATCTATGAAAAATAACATAAAAATTGTTAAAATTTTCTAGTGTATCTATAAAAAATAACATCTAAAAAATGTTAAATTTAATCCATTTCATATATATATATATATATATATATATATTTAATTAATTCATTGAGTCTGATAGAAACCTCAACAGGAATAGAGGAAGCACTGGACGGCCGTTTCGTCCTATAATTGGGACTCATCAGCAGTGCGCATCCACCACCGATATCGAAACCCTGACAGTTGGGTTGTCAAGCGAACAACATACCAACTGTACCAAATGGGCCTCGGTAACAAAGAGATTCCAAATCAGACTCAACTTAAGCGCCGCTCGCTCACATATTCCGTGGCGGAACTCGACTGATTTCTCTGTAACCATAGGACTGTGCCCCGGGAGCCACGACTACTCTCACCAAGCCGCGCCAACTGGAGCATTAGAAGCGGTTCAAGCGATGATAAACACAGATAGTAATTATTAGGAGGATTTGATAATTATATTCGTTACCGAGGTTTCATTTGGTACAGTTGGTATGTTGTTCGCTTTGACAACCCAACTGTCAGGGTTTCGATACTTTCGGTGGTGGATGCGCACTGCTGATGAGTCCCAATTATAGGACCAAAAATAAACGCCGTCCAGTGCTTCCTCTATTCCTGTTGAGGTTTCTATCAGACTCAATGAATTAATTAAATATAATTATCAAATCCTCCTACTAATTACTATATATATATATATATATATATATATATATAAACTTAATCACAGTGCCTTGATAGTTGTCTTTAATGAAACTTGTATAAAAGAGGGATTGCTACCTAAATACACAATTTTATATATATATATATATATATATATATATAATAATACTAATTAGTAGGCATAATTTCAAGAACAAAGAGAGCTCAAGGGATTTTTTAAGGATTGCCTTTACTTATTTATATATATTTTATATATAAAGAAATAATCGTACATAGAATTAATCAGCAATATCAATGCGATTAATGACAAAATCACTTCACTAGTAGAACATAATGTATGCATTAAAATACTGTTAATCCATTGAATGATGTGATCCTCATTTATAAAACTGTTGTCAGATGTTTCTAGTGTATATTTTCTTTAAGTTAAGCAAGTACTTTCGAAGAATCATTCCTTCATTGTCAGGCTGTAATATTTTCCTTTAAAGTTAAAACTTGAAGACAAAAAATTGTTTGTAGACCGAAAGATGTTTTTTAAGAATGTGCTATTTATTGGCGGTTGTACAATCTCGGAACATGCGAGTCACAACGCTAAAGTTCAAAATTTGAACTGAGAATTTTTATATAAATTTTATAATATGGTAAATCCATGAATTCTTTTTTTACAATATAGTTCATGGGATAATATATGCATATTATGTGTATTATTTTTATAATAATTTTTTCTAGTTCTCTAGTTAGCTTCTTGATGTTAAGTTGAAATTCATCAAGGAAGGCAGCGTAGTTTTTGTTAACCCAAGTACTTTCGATCCCTGCCAAGATTATATTCAAGGCTGAATTGTGAAGACAAACTTAATGTAACTATAATCAGGGTGATGGTAATTTTTGAAAACACACATGAACCATGAACATGCTCTATTATAAGTGTTTTAAAATATTAAAATTATCTGTTGTTTTTGGGGTTTGTCTTTTTTTAAAAGCGTCCCAATATAAGGGAGATAACCAGGGATGATAGAAATACAAAATGGCGGTAAATGTTGGTCAAATGCATTTTAAAAAATTACAAATGGGATGAGCAACTAGCTGTGCACAGCATTTCATTGCTCAGTCAATTAGCAGGCAGCAACAGGGTCAGTATACGAGGGTGAATTATCCCCCTCCCTTTCATATTCCATTAGTAAGAGTACTGGGTATGGTGATAAATTATATCTGGCAACAAGACCTCTGATCGGGAGATTGGAGGTTTTGCGGATCATGGAACCACCTCTTAATTGCTGTTGTTCTCAGACCCTAGTGAGTGGTAGTCTACCTGGGGTGGTAGCGACTGTTAGGGTCCCAACTATGGGCAAATAATGAACTCTTCAAACAAAAACAAAACTATGAAGATATAAAAATACATTTTTAAAGCAAAATAACGGACAATACATTTTATAATAGAAATCCTAACAACACATTTTATCTGTAATTGAAGATCGTCAGGGAAGGCTGGCTTCTTCCCTGATGATCTGCTTAGGTGAAACCTTGGAAGGTTTGGCTCTCTAGGTTTAACTAGGTCAGCTCTACTTACAGTATTGAGCACTTTAATTAGTTATTTTGCTTACTCGTATCGTGGTTTTTTCTTTGGACTTTGGACTTGCATGCTAGACGATTATTTTCGGCTAATGTACATATTCTTAGTTCTTTCTTTTTTATACCTTTTTTTTCCCTTTGGTATTGGTTTGATTATTTGCAAATCAAGACACCAAAGGTTTTCTGAACAAGTATAATTTCTTATACTTATAAGATTATTACTACTACTAATATATTTTAAAGAAAAACAGACCACTTTATGGTTCCATTATAATAATTTATTTCACCAGAGCCCTTTTAAAGGACACCGGATCATCAGATAGCACTTCCAAAAGATGAAACGAAAAGTGAAATGAAAACTGATGGGTAGTTATATACACACACATACATGTGTGTGTAAAATTTCGAATGTATTTAAAATATATATATATAAAAGGACAATATGAATAAAAACAAATGAGAATTATCTTTTACTTTTAAATTAAAATTAAATTTTTATTTTAAAATAAAATTGAAAATTTTTAAATTTAAAGAGGATTATTTTTAAAATTTTAAAAGGATAATATGAATAAAGATAAAATGAAAAATTTCTACATGGATTAAAATTTTTTTTAAAAATTGATTCTTTACAAATAGATTACATATATACATACACAGATTTTGGACATAAACTTTCTAAAATTGAAAGGATAACTGCCTATGTTAGTCTCAAATCATCCAATCTTTTTGAATAATCTCTTTGACATAATCTTATTTTGATAATTTGAATTAAAATTCCTTCTCCTTATGAATCTCTCTCACAGGTACATGTACTGGACGGCACTGAACAGGCAAGGAAAGATCGAACGTGCGACAATGGCTGGCAACCAACGGACAGCAATTGTTACCAGCGGTCTGGGATGGCCAACTGGTCTTGCAATTGACTATCAAGATGAAAAACTTTTCTGGGCTGACAGCAAGCTGTAAGTGTATTCTGATTATGACAGACATTGTTCAGTCATGTATCTTCATTCTTGTTGTTTTTAATCACTAAATTATAGCTGGAGGATTTTCAGACCTTTCTAGCATTTGAAGTTCTGCAATGAATTATGAATATTGAATAATTTGTAGCATTTTGGAATCAGATAGGTAACAGATGACTCAGCTTTTCGTACAAGGGTCTCTTCCTATTTAAGGACAAGTACTGGTAGTCTATAGCATCAGGATAAACATTAGCTTACCAGATACCTCAATTTTATATATAAAGCCCTCTTCCTATTTACGTTTAATATTATAGTATTATGGAGTTAGGCTAGGAACAAGTCCTGGTAGTCTATGGCATCTGGGTAAATAATAGCCTACCAGATACCTCAACTTTGTATATAGAGCCATCTTCCTATTTACATTTAATATTATAGTATTATGGAGTTAGGCTGGGAACAAGTCCTGGTAGTCTATGGCATCTGGGTAAATATTAACCTACCAGATAAGTGTACTTTGTGCCCTCTTCCGATTTACATTTAATATTATAGTATTATGGAGTTAGGCTAGGAACAAGTTCTTAGAGCCTATGGCATCTGGGTAAATATTAGCCTAACAGATACCTCAACTTTGTATATAGAGCCATCTTCCTATTTACATTTAATATTATAGTATTATGGAGTTAGGTTGGGAACAAGTCCTGGTAGTCTATGGCATCTGGGTAAATATTAGCCTACCAGATAAGTGTACTTTGTGCCCTCTTCCGATTTACATTTAATATTATAGTATTATGAAGTTAGGCTAGGTACAAGTCCTGGTAGTCTATAACAGCTGGGTAAATATTAGCCTACAAGATACTTGACATTTATAGAATTTATAGAATTTCACAAGATGACATTTATAGAATTTATAGAATTTCACAAGATGACATTTATAGAATTTATAGAATTTCACAAGATGACATTTATAGAATTTATAGAATTTCACAAGATGACATTTATAGAATTTATAGAATTTCACAAGATGACATTTATAGAATTTATAGAATTTCACAAGATAACATTTATAGAATTTATGAAATTTATAGAATTTAAGAAGATAACATCTGCTTCTATGAGTAGATTAAATCATCAACGAAAAGAAGACGAAAGATGAACTGGTGAAAAATCAATAATGCTTTTACACAAGCAGACCAGGGATTAGGAGAGATCTCACAAAAAACAACATTTTCGTTCACATCCAGAAGGGATATGGCACATAGAAGAAACAGCCCATTGAAAGCAATGAAAGAAGAAAATCCTTCAGCAGAGGTCTCCCCCCCCCCAGTCATCCATGACGCAACTTCCACTCTACAAAAAAAAGAAACTGTTATATCTAGCCAGCTAAGCTATAAACTGAGACTTCATGACCAATGTAGACTGCACTTATATTCATAAAGTCTATGTACCATATTGAAGAGCTTATCCAAATAATTATCATAGTAGTATTTATAGAAAAGGCCCAGGGAGGCAACTTTACAGTGGTGGGAAATTGACTGATGCCAAGTAAGGACCAATAAGATTTCTGATTCTTCTTATCAAGGCGCTCAAAATATGTTTAATGAATTTTTGTGTTAAAATTTCAGGGCTCTAAACTGTTATTTTTTTTCTTTACCATTGTCTCAAAGAACAATTTTAATTATGCTGAATCATTTAAATTGACAGAACAACTTTTTAACTAAATTAATAAAATTCAGAACAAAAACAGCATTTACACTTAATCACAGTTCAATTAAGAAATTATCTTTTTTTGTGAATTACAACAAAACAAAGTTTTTAAATTGACTTAACTGTTGTTGGTAAGGCACAACACTAAACTTGATAGTCAATCATGGTAGTAGTATTTAGTACTCAGCTAGATAAATTACACCAATTGTACCTCACCCTACGCAGAGGTTACGACTTAGGTCGAAATAACCACACTATAAACCACAAATAAGCACACCCCATTGCCTATTACAGTATTTACGATATGTATGTACTGCATTCTGAATAGAATAATTAATTTCCACCTTATCTTCCAGCAATATAGCTTTACACTTAGCATTAGCACTTGCACTGAGACTTTTCTTTGGAGCCATAGGCAAAAATGTATTCTAAATCACAATTGAGATATAATTGAAAGAGCAGCAATGGCAGAGCACAGAGGTAAACCGGTCTGAATTCAAAATCAGTGTTGGAGTGGAAAAAACACATGAGTGCCACCTGTTGGCAGGAATTTGAAATACGAATATCTGCTGAACATACTTTATTATATTAATTGTTTTGTTTTTGATGATCCTATTAAATATATATATATATATATAATATTTTTCAATTTATTTGAATATAATTTTGTGTTTATTGTTATTTTAGTATTTTGACATTTTTAATATTTCACAGCTGATGTAAACCCAAGTAAAATGATTTAAGGCGTGTTTTATTTTTCCATATTCAAGAAAAACTAATGTATCTTCAAAAATGATAACTTGAAATGACTTGAGACAAGGTATCACTGTATCTTTTCTTACTAGACAATTACCCAGGACTACTTATCATGAATGGATCAGTCCATTTATGATAGGAGGGGAACTGGCACTTAACACTACAAGAACATTATTATTTTCTTCAATGTTTTTTTAATTGTAACAATAAATTTAAAACAAAAAAAAAATATTACAGATAAAGCAACAGTCGGCAAATTTCAATAAATTCCGGCTTGTCAAATAAATTTAAAAAACAAAAGAAAAACAAGAAATTTCTGGTAAAACAACATTGATGTCTGTTTCATGCTATCCATGCATCCCACCCCGCCCAATGAAAGATGGCCACCCGGCCCAATGAAAGATGGCCACCCAGCCCAATGAAAGAAAGAAAGAGTAAATGAAGGAAAAGAAAGAACAACTATTATTAAAGTATTTGAAAGGATATTTCTTGCTTTTCTTTGGGAAACTTTAGTTGTATCTTTTCAGATTTTTATGTCTCTGAGACACAGGGTGCATGCCTATCAACATCTCTGCATACATAAACCCTGAAACTCACAGTGAATCCCTGGCACATCACTGGGGACATGCCTCAGGGCATCTTTTTTTATGTATTTTCAAATTCAAAATCTTGTAAACTTTATCATTCTTTGAATTTTCAGCAATAGAATTGAAAGAAGCAATCTTGATGGGAATTATCGAGAGGTTATTGTTGATGTATCCGTGCGACCTTTCTCTCTTACTGTATTTGGTAACTACATTTACTGGTCTGATTGGAGCATACGTAAGTAATTATTATCACTGTTTCATTTTACTTAATATGACATACTGTATATACTAGTATATCACGCAACTTTTGAAGACTTAATTTTGAAGCTAATTTTAAGAAGGTCACATCATACTTGAGATATATCAGGTCATCCCATAAATTCTGTCCGAATTTTAACTTTTTGTTAAAATGAACAAAATATAAAGAGTATTTTATGTCTAATGGAGTCATCTTCAACAACTTGGAAAAGTTCCTAAACTTGGAAAATGGGTGCCTCATGAATTGTCTGAAAACAACCTCAAATCCTGAGTTGACATCTGCTCTTCTCTCCATTCTCACCAACTTGTTTCACCTTTTTTGGATAGACTTGTGACGAAAAATGGATCTTTTATCGAAATGTTAAGCGTCGTAGACAGTGGCTTGGTAAAGGGGAAGGACTCTAGCCACAGCCGAGAAGGGAACTTCATGGGCAAAAGGTTCTTCTTTCAATCTGGTGGGATCGCCAAGGAATAATCCACTTTGAATTCTTACTACCTAATGCAACAATTAATGCTCAAATATACTGTCAGCAATTAGACCGTTTGAACCAAGCTTTGAGGAAAAAAAGACCTGCTCTAGTGAATCAAAAAGAGGTGATGTTTCATCAGGACAATGCACAACCCCACACAGCAAGAATCACGTCACAAAAGATTGGTAGGGAGAAAATTCCTCAGCCACCTTATTCTCCTGATCTTGCTCCTTCAGACTACCACTTGTTTCGTAGCTTACAGAATCATTTGGAAGAAACAGCTTTTGTAACACAGGAAAAGGTTAAAACTGACATTTGTGAGTTCTTCGAATCAAAGCCAAAAGAATTTTACAGTAATGGAATTAGTAAGCTTGTTAATAGATGGAAGGAAGTCATAGATAATCAGGGAAAATACATTGTTGATTGAGTCTGTAATTAAATGTAACATTTGGTCACTTGTTTTCTTTATTCAAAATTCGGACAGAACTTATGGGATGACCTGATATAAAGTTAGCGTATGTACTGCTGGCCCTGGCTACACTATTGACCAAACTATATATCGATTTACTGCAGTCAAAAAGTACAGCTGTATTTAAAATAAACATAATTTTGATAAAACTGATGTTTTATTTAACTGTATCCAATACTAATGCATGTAGTAGTCACATATTAGTATCGTATTATAAAATACAAGCATAGCAAATATGCATCTTTTCTATTGTTTACGTTTATAACATGTTTAGCTGTTTCTCGTTTGGTTGTTTATGGCTGTACATGTTTACGCAGCAAGTATAGCGTTACTAATGATACTTTTATCCTTCTCTTTTACTTTTTGAACTTATTTAACTAGATGATGGGATAAAGAGATAAAGGAAAAGAGGTTAGTCTATTGTAATTTGGTCTCTCAAAAAAGGAACTCTCATAATACACAAGATACATGATAAAATCATTTTTTATAAGTTAAAATTTAGGGGTAGCATGATACTCGAGATCGCACGTTACACAAGTATATATGGTATTTATTTATTCGTAAAACCAATTGCAACAAATTTTTAAAAGTACTCTGATTAATAATGCTTTTATATATAGCTATTTTTAATTCCCCTGTCTATTCAAGACATAGGCAATCATAATTCTCCACAGTGATTGACATTTCTTGTAAAGATAGTGGCATGATTTGCATTATCCACGATTTGAAATTCAGAGTTCTAGGCTGGCTATGACACAAGGCTATAATAGTCCAGTCTACCTTACTATTTAACTTACATCTGGCAGGGATGAGCTATATTCGTGCCTTTCCAAGTTAAAAGAAAAAAAAAGTGATATAATTTATGATAAAACAAGCTCTTGCTCAATAAACTGAGTGAAAACACTTTACCAGACAACTAGGAAAATTTTGATTTATTGCATACTAGCAGCATGGCCCAGCATTGCCCGTGCTTGATTCAAAAATCGTACGACTCATACAGCAATCGCATTCACTTGACTTAAAATATTTTTGCCCTTCCTTGCCTTTAAAGAAGTGCCCTTTGCCGTGCTGATGTTGCTACACGCTTTACTTCTTGCCTATCTCACACTGCAAATTTTTTCTAAGCTCTATACTAAACATTAAATTTATTACGAAAAAAGAACTAAACAAAATGAACACAAAACAATCAGCTTTAAAAAAGGACTCGTAACTGGAAAAACTGAATGAAAAAAGAATGTTACAACAAATACTTTTTCACACCCAACCCAGTTCTGCAGAATCAGAATCAACGTTGAGTTTAAGCAAGTGAATGAGCCAATTGGAGTAAAGTGCCATGCAGAGTTAAATTTTTCCCACTTGTGACGAATGCAGCTATTGATTTTTTTTTTTTGCATGCTAGTTAACATTCGTGTCAGTCAGCTGTTGGCTCTCACGCTGGCCAATAGAATCTTCCTGCCTATTCGTGGCAGCCAGCTATAGGCTCTCACTCTGGCCAGTAGAAAATGGCCACAAACGACAGGAAAACTGCCGTAGAAGCATGAAAAAATTGATTATTTCCACTATCGATGGGAGTTGGGAAATGCAAAGTCAGTCTTGGCCTTCCCGCTAACTTGGAGTATATGCCTGTAAATCTTGATGCAAATTCGTCGAAAATTGCAGCCGTGCATTCATTACACACACACACACATCCTGCCTTTTATATATAGAGATAGACTATAACGATTGGGATACAAGGCCTAAAAGGAGGGAATGGGTTGAGACTGGTCAGCACTAACAATCTTACAGGTTAGCTAATCAGATTCTCAACCCATTCATTACAATTTTCACATCCACCACAAAATCTTGTTTGTCGTCATTCAATTCTGCATCTACCACAATACAACACACACACAGGGAAACTATTAAACACCTCATGAGATAAAAATTCTTGAGTATACAATTATATATAAAAAACTTCATGATGGTATGCAATGAGGGGGTGGATGAACCCAAAAACAAACTAAAATATAACAAAAACACCCAAACTAAAGATAACTGATGTTATTAAGACTAATTTAACCTTCAAAGAAATAAGAGAGGCTGCAGTATTCTGTCTTCTGACAAAATCAAGAAGCTTTCTTGCTAAGGGAGAGAGAAGGATAAAATAAATACAGCCATGGGAAAACTGACCCTGTCAAGATGAAAAAAAGGGCCAAAAAATAAACTGTGGAGGTTGGAAATCTTGGCTTGGATCATAACCAAAGAGGAGACCAGGAATGACGCTTATATTAACTAGTTACACAAGAATGGTCTATCCTAATCAGGGGAGGGCTCCACGGGAAACTACCCCATTGTGACATAGGGAGATCTAAAAAAAAGAAAAACAAGGCTAGCCCCATTCACATGAACCAGGCTCACCACAGTTACCCAACTGAAATTTATCAAAATATCAAATACTTTCTATCAGTTCTAATCTTTATCCTGATGAGAATAACAAACAACAAGAAAAATGTTTCCAGAGGAGAAATTTCAGTAAACTTAAATAATGCTTAAAGGGAAGGGAGACAAACCTGCTACTGCTACTGCTTAGAACACATCCATTAAGCTGAGGAGTGGGAGTTAGCCAAGGATGGTGAGTTCAAACCCAGGTAAGAGTCAGCATAGTTGACATAATTCCTCTCCTCTTTTTAGTTGCTCACAACAACCAGTTTCCATTAATATCAAACTAATGGTACATAAGGAACAAGAGAAACCAGTTATGACCAATCTCATGTCACCTGAAAACAATTTATTTGTTGAAGTTAAATTATCAACTGTTGAAATATTGTTTAACATTGTCAAAAACGATTTTCTTTTTCTTAAACACAACGTTTCGGACATTTTATGCTGTGGCCTTTATGTTTATGTCGCCCCAGATCTCTGTCTATATCTCTGAGATGAAATATTGTGATTTCTTGTAATATTTACATTATCAGATTGTTATCATCATTTTTATTGCCATGTGTTCTGAATATGGCAATGCAGATATCGCTAACAGTCCAAATAATGAAATGGACAAAGTCCGACAATTATTTTAAGACACTTTATGTTTATACATTCTTTTTATAGATACAAATATTTAAGTAAATGCTCTGTTTATAATAAACAGTATTAAACAACATTTACTGGCCTGAATGTCCGGGAAATTTTCACAGAAAATATTCGTTGTTATTCGAATCTGTATCCTATACGGAACCATCATTTAGCTTGACGTGCCTTTAACCGATTTGGTCGAATTTACTGGATTTGAACTTCAATCTTCTATGAATCTCTCACGTACATTCATATCTGCTCATGGCGTATCAAATGTAAACAAATGACGTCACACATTATAAAATGGACAAAGTCAGACAATTATTTTAAGACATTTTATGTTTATACATTCTTTTTATAGATACAAATATTTAAACATTTAAAATAAAAAATATTTAAACAAATAAAATGTCTTAAAATAATTACATTGCTTTTGATAAAAATCTTATTTAGCATTGGGGAATGACTGAGATTAGTTTTGACATATTTGCTGAAGGGTAGGTTAAATCATTGTGTTTGCAGTATTTTGGTTTGTTGACATCATTATGTTTTATATATATATATATATATATATACCAACTTTGTGTGTGTGTATGTATATATATATATATATATATATATATATATATATGTATACACACAAACACATACAAAGACAAGGTTGGTATAGATGAAATAAACTTCCAGTAACCAAAAACACTATTACACTATTTTTAAAAAAAGTGCTCAATACAGAGTAGAGTGAATAATATTTATTTAAAAATTATAACATAAGTATGTTATAACATCACCGCAAAAATAGCATACTTATGTTATAATTTTTAAATAAATAATATATATATATATATATATATATATATATATATATATATATTACAATGAATCATTCATACAAAAAAGTAAATTAGTAAACTTAATGATATAAAATGGCGAAATCCCTTCGCTAACAAAATTTTAAAGATGCATTAACCTACCAATCACTTGATGAATGTTATGATCCTTGTTTTTTAAAATTATAAGCCATATAAGGTTTTTCTTAAATATGCAAGTACTTTCAACTGTACATTTAGTCATCTTCAGGCATGGAAATTATTTTGTTTTTGGTAAAATTCAGGTAGCATCCGAGACAAAAAATATAACACAAATCAAAATATGTTTTTTTTTTGTTTTTTTTTTAAATGTGTTATTGATAATGAATACAAACTTTTGGAGCATGCAGTCACAATGCTAAGGTTGAATTTTTTTTAAATTTAAGAGAGTGCGTTTTTACTAATATGGCAATTTGAGAATTTTTTGTTGTAGGAGTTTATCAGTCAGTGTGGCATAAACTAAATTGTTCAATATATAGAGTAATGTCTCAGTTGTTATCCCAAAAATTTGCATGTCGGATCAGTTCATTTAAATCAAATATGTGGTGCAGTTCAATTCATATTACAATGAATCATTCATACAAAAAGTAGATTAGTAAGTGCTCAGTTGAATTTTTAAAAAAATTCAAACTTAGTGTTGTGACTGCACACTCCAAAAGTTTGTATTTTTCGATATATAATGTAAATGCATTGCTAATGATTTTACTATAAAAATGCATTGAGAATCAGGAAGAAAGGGATTGTCAGTGGTCAGGAATGAATGCAAGCATTACTGATAGAATAGGGTTATCATATGTATAATGTAAATGCATTGCTAATGATTTTACTATAAAAAAGCATTGAGAATCAGGAAGAAAGGTATTGCCAGTGGTCTGGAATGAATGCACGCATTATTGATAGAATAGGGCTATTATATGTATAATGTAAATGCATTGCCAATTATTTTACTATAAAAATGCATTGAAAATCAGGAAGAAAGGGATTGTCAGTGGTCAGGAATGAATGCAAGCATTACTGATAGAATAGGGCTATTATACATAAGTATAATATAAATGTGTTGCTAATTATTTTTACTCTACTAAATCTGGTAAGATACAAAAGCACCACTCTCAAGAATTTTCTGAAACTTGTATATATCAAATAAACTGTTACGATGGTTCCTCACAATACATTGGTGAAACTTGCAGAAATATAAGAAAAGGGTCTTATACTTAACAATTTGTCAAATACATTCATCATACATAGAAATAAGTTTGACAACTTTAATCTAGAGAATGCCACACTTATTAAGTAGTATTAGAAAAAGACACAGACTCTAGTTTACAAAAAAAAAAAAAAGAAGAAAGAGACTCACACATCAAATTTTATTCTTGTCATTTCCGTCCCATTTCTAAACTTTAGTGTATGAAACATACAGACGATCTGTTATGAGATAGAGACATCCTGAAAAATGGTGCTTCCTAAAGTCAATTACCTGTTAGCCAGTCAATTGCTACTGCTAAAATGCCAAACTGGTTGCTATTCTGTGGAATAACAGTCTCCATTTTACTTCCATCAGGTTTGAATTTCATGATGCCTTTGTCAATAGAGGCCGTAAAGATGTAATTTTCTTTCTTATAGGTATCCACAAAATGAATGAAGTGATCTGTAAAAGAAACAAATTGATTGTTAACAGGTTGAAAAAAGAAATTATTCAGTTGCAATGTATTTTCAAGGAAGACAAAAATGATGAGGTCAACATATTTCTATTTAAATCAATTTTTAATTCCCCCACACATGACATTCACAGAGAGACAGACAAGAAGAGATTGTGATAGAGAGATAGATCTGAATGGATTGAGAAAGATAGATATCAAGAGACGGAGATAGATAGATGGATATGAACAGATTAAGACAGATATATATGGACAGATTGATATAAATAGATGGTTAGATATGAACAGATTGAGACATATGGATATGAACAGATTGCTATAAATAGATGATTAGATATGAGGAGACTGAAACAGATATGAACAGTGAGATAAAAAGATATGCAGTGTCGGGTGGGGGGACAATTTTAGAAAGAAATTAGCGTTGCAAAGGTCAAAAAAAGAAAGTAACCTTGTCAGCTAAGAAAAATTTTCTTCTTCATAGTCTTTTTACAGATATACTTTTCTTATATCTGAATTTTTACACACATCTAACTCAAGACTTCCCCACACATTTCCCCAATGATACTGATGAACATGTCGGAGGACGAATATTTTCTGTGTAAATTTCCCAGACATTCAGGCCGGTAAATGTTGTTTAATACTGTTTATTATAAACAGAGCATTTACTTGAATATTTGTATCTATAAAAAGAATGTATAAACATAAAAAAAGTCTTTATATATATATATATATATATATATATATATATATATATGCACCCACTTGACCATTTTAGCTTAGGGCCACATCATGTTGAAACTTTGGTGATTGTACAGGAACCAAAGTTGAGCCTGTTCAGTACCTAGATGGGTGACAGCTTGGGGATACCAGGTGCTATAAGATTGGATGTGTGGGTGGCGTAATGGATGATGGCTCAGAATTTCAAATCAGAGAGCAGAGTTCCAATTACATTTGGGTTCATTATCTTCACCTACATGCAAATATCCTTGGGAAAGGTATGAATCCACCTCTTCTCCCTCCAGCTATGGGTTAATTACTAAGACTTGTAAAACTAAACCATTATTACTTCCTACTCCCCCACCCCAAAAGATTTTTTACAATCTAAAAAACAAAATATTTTCTAGCTTTAAATAACCTGCAAAGGGTTGATAAACCATAGAAAACGAATCAATCAATCAATGAAATACCGATTAGCTGCACAGGCATGTCTTTTAGATTTATTTACATTCTCTGGAATAGAAATGGATAGAAATTACAGTGGCCATGAAATGAGGGATCACTTTATATATTGATTGTAATATAGAATCGATCCCCAACTTTATATCCACATTATAATTTCTTGTTTGTTGATAAACTGCAGAAATCGAATCAATCAATCAATGAAATACTGATTAGCTGCACAGGCATGTCTTTTAGATTTATTTACATTCTCTGGAATATAAATGTTTAGACACTACCGTGAGGGATCAGTTTATATATTGATTGTAATATAAAATTGATCTTTATATCCACATATATGATTTCTTGTTTGTTTATCAAATTCTTATTAATTATAAATCAACTTCTCCCCCAGCTATGGGTTAATTAGTAAGACTTGTATCACTATAACCATTATAATCTCAAAAATAAAATTCGTACAATCTAAAAATATTTTTCTGGCTTTAAATAACCTGCAAAGGGTTGATAAGCCATAGAAAACAAATCAGTCAATGAAATATTGATTAGCTACACAGGCATGTCTTTTAGATTTATTTACATTCACTGTAATATAAATCTATAGAAACTTCCATGATCATAAAGTTAGTGATCAGTTTATATATTGATTGCAATATAGAATTGATCCTCCAATTCATATTCACATTATAATTTCTTGTCGGCATGTCTTTTAGATTTATTTACATTCTCTAGAATATAAATCTATAGAAACTGCAGTGGCCACAAAGTGAGGGATCAGTTTATATATTGATTGTATTATAGAATTGATCCCCTAATTTATATACACATAATTTCTTGTAGGCATGTCTTAGATTTATTTACATTCTCTAGAATATAAATCTATAGAAACTGCAGTGGCCACAAAGTGAGGGATCAGTTTATATATTGATTGTATTATAGAATTGATCCCCTAATTTATATACACATAATTTCTTGTAGGCATGTCTTAGATTTATTTACATTCTCTGGAATATAAATCTATAGAAACTACAGAGGTCATTAAGTGAGGGATAAGTTTATATATTGATTGTAATACGGAATTGATCCCCCACTTCATGTCCACATAATTATCTCAAAAAAAAAAAAAAGATTCTTACTATCTAAAAATTATTTCTCCCAGGTAACATATTTGAAGCTGAGATTTTGAAATATATTCTACTCCATCATTTTATTTTTTTTATTTTTTAAATTTTTTTTTTTTTTTTTTTTTCCCAATAGGCAGCATATTCCGTGCAGAAAAGCATACTGGAAACAACCAGCGGCATTTGATTAAGGATCTCCACTCAAGACCACTGGAAGTAAAAGTTTTTTCCAAAGCACAGCAAACATGTAAGTTCTTTTATTTCCAATCCACCCCACTTAAAAAAAAAAAAAAAACACCTGTCATATTTGAAGAAAAAAATGATTAAAAAAATATAACCCCTGGGTCTTATATGCCAAATATAACTCCTGGGGTTTTATATGCCAAATATAACTCCTGGGGTTTTATATGCCAAATATAACTCCTGGGGTTTTATATGCCAAGTTGGCTTATGCCAACATCATGTTGAAACACCAGTTCTTGTACAATCCCTAAAGTTAAGCAATGTTCAATAGCTAGCTGGATGACTGCTTGGTAATACCAGGTGCTGTAAGCTTCGACTTGCAGGTGGTGTAATAGATAATCACTTGGAATTGTTAATCAGAGGGCTGAGTTCTAATTCCCATTGGCTTCGTTATATTCACTTACTTGCAAATACCCCTGGGAAAGGTATGAATCCACTTCTCCTCCCTCAGCTATGGGTTAATTAGCAAGATTTATATCACTAAATCATTATTATTAAAAAAAAAAAAAAAAGATCATTACAATCTAAAAATATTTTCTGACTTAAATAATTTGCAAATGGTTGATAAGTTGTAAAAAATGAATCAATTAATAAAAAAGAAAAATGCACTTTTTTCATTTTTAATGCTTCCATTTAATTACTAATTAGTAAGATTTGTATCACTAAATGATCTCCAAAAAAAAATTCTTACAATCTAAAAATATTTTCTGTCTTTAAATAACCTGCAGAGGGTTGATAAACTGTAAAAAACAAATCTATCAATCAATGAAATACTGATTAGCTACACAAACACGTTTTATGCTATGGAATATATATGTCTAGAAACTTAATTTTTATATTGATCGTAATATAGAATTGATCCCTCACTTGATGTCCACCCTATAATTTCGTGATTGTTTATCAAATTCTGATTAGGTATAAATCTGCCTTTTCTCTCCTCAGCTAAGGGTTAATTAGTAAGGCCTTGTATCATTAAATCATTATTATCTCAAAAACATTTTTATAATCTAAAAATATTTTCTGGAGTTAAATAACCTGAAAAGGGTTGATAAGCCATAAAAAACAAATCAATCAAATTTATATGCCAAGTTCAGCTGTTTACTTTAGACTACCATTTAGTCTAGGATCAAAGTATGGCATCTGCCCTCAGGTGGGCAATTTATATTTTTTCTCTTGTGTTTCTGTCTTCAGACAGAGTGTAACTCAGGTGTGTATTTGCTTTAAGACAGAGCACATCTGAAAATTGTATTGAAAGTTTCCCAGTCTTAGGGAACAGCTGCCCATGGAAGTTCATACCACATTTGCACTAAATAGAAAGGATCAGTAGTAATACTGATGCCAGTGCAACTGACAGTTGCAGGGGCTGGGCTATTTTTGGAACTGATCCTAGTGCATGCACTAGGGCTCACCACATTAAACTGTCCTTGTATCATATCCTGCCAGTATGGGGCAGCACATAAATACTATGTGTAGTATTCTCTTCTGTAAAAGAGACCCCTTTCAACTTACCATCAGCATGGCTGATGCTAACCTCCAGGATAGTAATTCATCTCACTGTCTTGGATGACATGAAGTAGAAACACTATATTGAATCCATTGTCAGGTCAGCTGCTAAAAATATTAGTTCACTGTGTTGGGCTCAAATTACAAGTCTACCATTCATCCATGCTTTGAATATTGCTGCCACATATGGTCTGGTGCTCCTGCTATATATTTAGAGATTCTTGATAAAATCGAAAGCGGAATCTGCAATGTTTCTCTCCAGAATCTATCTTACATATTTATAAGTCTACCATTTATCCATGCTTTGAATATTGCTGCCACATATGGTTCGGTGCTCCTGCTATATATTTAGAGATTCTTGATAAAATCAAAAGAGGAATCTGCAATGTTTCTCTCCAGAATCTATCTTACATATTTATAAGTCTACCATTCATCCATGCTTTGAATATTGCTACCACATATGGTCCGGTGTTCCTGCTATATATTTAGAGATTCTTGATAAAATCCAAAGAGGAATCTGCAATGTTTCTCTCCAGAATCTATCTTACATATTTATAAGTCTGCCATTCATTCATGCTTTGAATATTGCTGCCACATATGGTCCGGTGCACCTGCTATATATTTAGAGATTCTTGATAAAATCCAAAGAGGAATCTGCAATGTTTCTCTCCAGAATCTATCTTACATATTTATAAGTCTACCATTCATCCACGCTTTGAATATTGCTGCTACATCTGGTCCGGTGTTCCTGCTATATATTTAGAGATTCTTGATAAAATCCAAAGAGGAATCTGCAATGTTTCTCTCCAGAATCTATCTTACATATTTATAAGTCTACCATTCATCCATGCTTTGGATATTGCTGCCACATATGGTCCGGTGTTCCTGCTATATATTTAGAGATTCTTGATAAAATCCAAAGAGGAATCTGCAATGTTTCTCTCCAGAATCTATCTTACATATTTATAAGTCTACCATTCATCCATGCTTTGGATATTGCTGCCACATATGGTCCGGTGTTCCTGCTATATATTTAGAGATTCTTGATAAAATCCAAAGAGGAATCTGCAATTTTTCTCTCCAAAATCTATCTTACATATTTATAAGTCTACCATTCATCCATGCTTTGAATATTGCTGCCACATATGATTCGGTGCTCCTGCTATATATTTAGAGATTCTTGATAAAATCCAAAGAAGAATCCATAATATTATTCATCCTGATCTGGCATCTTGACTTCAGTTCCTTTTCCAGTGCCATAAAGTTCCCTGTGCCTTTTCTAAAAATATTTTCATGGTAATTCTTCAAATGAACTCTTTACTATGGTACTTAAACTTTTTTTAATTTAAGTGCAGTACTAGGCTAGCGACAAGGTCTCACCAATTTACAGTTGAGTTGGCCAGATGTAGCCGCAAGTTCTATGCTAACTGTTTCTTTTCTTGCACTTCTCGCTTGTGGAACTCACTTCCAGCTCCATGCTTTGCAGCCAAGTTTAATCTTCGAAAATTTAAATGCAATTTCAATTGTTATCCATTGACCTACTGATTACTTTTCTTTTGTTTTTGCTCCTTAGTAATGTTTCTCATTTCTAATTCTTCCACACCCAGTAACCACTTGTGGCTTAGTGGCTTTATTGCCTTGCTTGGGGTGAAACCAATAAAAAAAATACATTTTCAGCAAACACTTTCAATATGTTTTCACTTTAATAAACACATCCCAACACAATATTTCTTCTTGTTACTTACTATTATAATTATATCTTATTATATCATTATTATTTTCAATAGCATTATTATTATTATTATTATTAATAGTGAATAAAGAATTTTATTCTAAATATTTCAAATATTCTTTTTTTAATTTCTATCTCTTTTCAGGCAGTGACGATCCTTGCCAACTTTTTAATGGTGGGTGTAGCCATGGGTGTCACCCTGCCCCTGATGGCAAGGCCGAATGTTCATGTGATGATAACAGTGGCTTGGTTCTTGCAAATGATGATAAGATGTGTGTTCCCAAGAACAATAATTGCACCAGCGCAAACTTTATCTGCATGAATGGCAAATGCATCTATAAAAGATGGATTTGTGATATTGACGACGATTGTGGAGATGGTTCAGATGAACACCCAAACCTTTGCGGTCAGTATTTAAACTACTTTAATGCCTTGATGCAAATCAATCCAAACCTGTGCAGTCAGTGTTTAGCTCCCTTTCATGTGTGGATGCAAATCAATCCAAATCTGTACAGTTAGAATTATATAAAGAATTATACATATTTATTTTCAAATAATAATAAACTCTATTTTCAAATATTTTCTATACATATTATGATATAACAATATATAATTTTGTATAATTTTATATATCAACAAACAGTATTTAGAAAAATACGACAAACTGGAAAAGTTTTTCATGACACATTTTATCCATTAGGATTTCATCGGACTGGGCTTTGTTGATGTTGCCATGTCTACACATGCGCATGAAACAAGAGACGCAGGTAGTTTCATAATTTTTGAAAGAATATTTTTGATACAGTATTTTTTTATGTGAATACAAAACGAGCATTTTAAATAAAGACACACAAAATGCATTGGTTGTTCACTGTAACAAAATGAACCACAATTTTGACATGGGGAATGCTACTTTGATTAAAAGAGAAAATGAACCACTGAGACAAAAATGTCTGGAAAGTGCCTTGATTGCTAGTTCAGTCACAATAAATTTGCTTCCAGGATCTTACAGCATATCACCATTCTTGGTAGATTTTATATTGTCACAGTGTGGGATAGTCAATGATGACACAGACAAAAAGACAAAAGAATACAGATGATTTTGGCTCGGTTGAGAGAAAAAAAAATTCTCTCAAAAATATTCTTTCAAAAATTTTGAAGCTGTCTGTGTTTCTTGTTTTGTGCAGCACATGTGTAGATATGGCAACGTCAACAAGGCCCAGTCTAATGAAATCCTAACGGATGAAATGCGTCGTAAAAAAAATTTACCAGTTTGTCATATTTTTCTTAATACATATTATATATTATACATATTTATTTTCAAATAATAAACTATATTTATACAGATATATTATACATATTTCTCTACATATTATATATTATACACAGAATTAGAATTAAAATTGTTATATTCAAATTATATTTCCTTGTATGGAATCTAGGTTTCTCATAATTACCCAATAATGGGTGAGTCTATTGTTATGAACTGGGAAATAGAAAATCATAATGTACGTTATTATGATATTTTTATTTTTTCCACTTTCAGCACAGCACACATGTGACCCTTCCATGTTCCGATGTGACAATGGCCGATGTATAAGACCTTATTTTCGCTGTGATTATGACAATGACTGCCGGGACAACTCAGATGAAAGAGACTGCAGTAAGTTAGACACAAAGCAATCTAATGTTTTCCTGATTATATCATTAAAAAACAATAAGTTTACAAGGATCTTTATTCCATAACTTTTGTTGATTCTGCAGGGATGCAAATTCAGAGTCTGTTTTGGAAACAAGAATTCTACAAAAAACCTGAATTGCCTCTAGTAGTAGTAGTAGTAGTAATAATATCAAATAGTATTATTAATAAAATAATAATATAAAATTTTATAATCATATCGCTTATTTTTGTAATGTTGGATGGCTTCTCTTGTCACGTTTGCTATGTCAAGCGAAAGCACATTATCAATTCCAAAACTGCTCATTACATTCAAGACTTTGTTGATGCCAGTACTAGTAATAACGCCTCCCAATAATATCTGCACTAGTAATACTTGTTCAAGTAGTAATCGCTAAATAGTATAATGATCAGAAGAGAATCGTAATCCGTAGAGTAGAGAGAGTGTACGTATAGCAATTGTGGATAGACAAGAAGAGTGAACAGTGATCGAATAGTCATCACGCTACTTCCTATTTATTCACTTCCTTTATGATCACGTGAATCCGTATTGCTCTCTGGTGATCTAGTTTCAAACCACACTGTCGGCAATGATACTTACTCTTATACAACACATATAAAATGCTGTATATATGAGTGTTGACTAAAAAGTTCATAGGCTAAATGAGATACTCTCATGGAATGTGACCAAATAAGGTTTATTTTTCAAGATAGTCCCCCTTGCAGTCCACACTCTTCTTCTATTGACATTGGAGTGCATGGATCCCATTTGTGAAGCAGCTTTCATCCTGTTGGTCAAAAAAAGTCATCAACAGCAGATATGATGTCATCATCACTACGATACTGATTGCCAGCCAAGTGTTTTTTCATGTTGATGTTGGGGAATAGATGATAGATGAGGCCAAATCAGGAGAATAGGGAGGGTGATCAATCAGTTCAAAGCCACAGTCAGCATTGATGGTGTGGCTCTTTTGAAGAAAGTCAATAAACACAATGACTTTTACATCCCAAAATCTGAGGCCATTCATTGTAGTGGTGTGACTAAAAGAAATATTAATGTAAGAATAATGTAATAAAGATATATAAATAATAATGAGGTAATATAGAAATACGAGTGTGGCTGAAAAGTTCATAGTCTAACCAAGGTACTTTTATGGAATGTGACCAAATGAGGTTTATATAGTCCTTGCAGTCCACACCTTTCTTCTATTGATGTTGGAGTGCATGGATCCCATTGGTGAAGCAGTCCTGTTGGTCAAAAAAGCCATCAACAGCAGATATGACGTCATCATCACTGGGATACTGATTGCCAGCCAAGTATTTTTTAAGGACATTTTTGACCCACAGGTTGGACGGTCTTCTTTGAACAGTCAGATGTCAGTTAACCTGGAAATAAACAATGCAGTTATTAATAAGAAGCATTGAAATTAATGCCAGCTCTAGCATCACTCCCTCATAGTTAGCCTATGAACTTTTCAGCCATCATTGTTTAACAAGAGGATGCAGTATTATAGTACACTGCTGCTGCTGTGAGCAATTGGATTGTTTGAATGATGCAGTTGAACAGATAATAATTTGTTTTCCTAGGAAAGGAAATCAACTGCAACATGACAAATGCTGTCCGCCTGTTACCAATATGATGCATAATTGGCATTTTTTTCAAAATCTATCATCTTAAGATGATGCCTTCACTTCATGTCTGATTAGACATTCTGAAAATTTCAAAATAACAAAAATTCCTTAAAGAATTAAACATGTAATTGTTCTTTTATGATGAAATATACAATTTAACTGGAAGTTGACATTAGGCCCTAGAAAATCAGGGAAAAGATGTTGATGATGATATGACTTTATATTATTAAAAGATTCTGTAAAATACATACTGACATCTTTTGGATCAACCTAATGATAAAATATAGAATTTAGCTGGAAGTCAGCTTAAAGAGATAGAAAATCAGGGAAAAGATGTCGATGACTGAATAATGATGCTATAAATTTAAATGTGGGAAATCTTTTGCCAAAAACAAAATCTTGGAAACCTTTGTTTTGTAATTTTTAGGTCATCCTACCTGTGGACCAAATGAATTTGAATGCAAGAATTTCCGATGTTTAAATCATTATAGAGTTTGTGATGGCATGGACCATTGCCTAGATGGTTTCCAGAGTGATGAGCAGGATTGCCGTAAGTAATTTTGTGTGTCTATCCTATGCAAGCACAAAAAATGTTAATTTTACATAAGCTATATACAAGGTCTGTTTGATATTTGGTTGTAATGTTATCTTTGTTCAAAATAGCCAAGAAGTAAGAAGGTTGTAGTTATTGAGAGTATCGAAGGAACAGGAGTTAGGGTAGAGGAAACAAAGAGATTTATCAAATACTCATACATAGAATGAAAATACTTGAGTAAATCAAATACTACTCAAATCCTCCTCTAATGCAGCTACTTGCCATATTCTGTCCTAGGTATGATGATAAACTACATCTGGTAGCAAGGCCTCTGATTGGGAAGTTTTGGTATAGCATGGAACCACCTTTTAATTGCTGTTGTTCCCAAGTTCGTCAGGTGAACAAAGCTGCAATATCCTTGTCCAGAGTGATCATGCCAAATAACCTATATACAAGATCTGTTTGATATTTAGTTGTAATGTTGTTTTTGTTCAAAATAGCTGAGAATTAGGAAGGCTGTAGTTCGAGAGAGTATCAAAGGAACAGAATACTAGGTAGAGGAAACAAAGAGAGGAGGTTTATTAAATACTTATATATATATAGAACGGAAATACTTGAGTAAATCAAATACTACTCAAATCCTCCTCTAATGTGGCTACTTGCCATATTTTTAAGTAGGAGCAGTCCATTGTAATGGGGAAACATCCCCACATGCACACATTCAGACATCAACCCTTCAAATTTTACTTCATTTTTTTTGTTTTTTGTTTTAAGAGCAACAAAAAGAGTGAATTATCACTCTTTTGCTCCTGTAAAATTTAGTTGTTCTTGTTCCTTGTGAGAAAAAAGCAGCCTTCTACGCCTTGGTTCCAGCAAAAAGGGGCATGCCCCAGGAGCACACCTTTCTTTCAAGTTTTTTAGTATTTGAGTCTAAGTTGTTAGAATAAGGCCCCAGTCGATGGTTTTTTGCCAAGCACTTTCAGTTATCATCAACCATCATCATGGCATATGTTTTGGTTTGGAAATATGTTGTTTATTGTTTTAATTTTATAGATAATATTAGACGATATTGTTGGGTTAGTTCATTATTGATAAGGAGGGGGTTGATGTTTATCATTTGGAGGATTATTTATTAAATATTTTTAAGATGTTTCTGCCAGTATTAAATGCTATTTTATTTATGTTGGGGCTTGGGTTTTTGATTAGGATGGCTTCCAGAATTTGTAGTCATTTTTTGCAATTGTTTTTATAAAGGATTTTGGTGTTGTTAATTAAGATTTTCCTTACGTCAGATGATTTGAATCTGTTACCAGTGGTGGTGCTGGGCATAAATAAGTATTTATAAACAAACGTAAAAAATATTAGTTCTTATTTGCAATAGAAATAATTTGTAAAAAGGATTTGAAAGAAGTAAATCTATATTTTTTAAGGTTTTATTGAAATTTTATTTAAGTTTCCACATGTCCTCCATCGTTAGCAATACAAAGGGTAAAACACTGGAAAAAAGAAAATTTTTTTTTTTTACTTATCTAAAAATTGTTGCAAATTTTGTGGTAAAGAATTATTCAATAATTATACTTAAAACTAGGTACATTAAACTTTATAAAAGTTTTTACAGATTATTTCTATTGCAAATACAAATAAAGTTATAAATTTTTTAAAGTGCACACGAACTTTATGGACACCATATATATATATATATATATATAATTATTTATTTAAAAATATGATTCCAAATCGCTACATAAGAGGTCTCATGTTTCAAAACAAGGGCCGAAAACTTCAATATAATCCTTTAAATTAAATTGAGTTGAAATTAAAATGGGCTCCGTTCCATCTTCAAGCATAATGTATGTATGGAAGGAGCATATTTTTTTTTATTTCTCAAATATGACGGCCAATAAAGGTAATACACACTGTTTAAAATAAAAATAGGGCATTTATTTCAAATATGAGTGTTAACTATATTTTTAAAATAGGATACAGAATCCCAACAAAGTTTTTTAAAAAATTTGACAAATGGAAAATCTTTCATTGAAACTAGATTTGATTACGCGTTTTGCCATCGAAGACTTCATCAGATCTAAAATGAAAGAAAGAAATGTCTGCGTGTTTAATTAATGAATCATAGTACTTTTTCTGTAAATAACTGGATTACTTCAACCAATGCTTTCATCTATTGAACCCAGAGACATGGCACAAAGAGTTGTGAGTTCAATACCCGGCCACAGCAGAGGTAAACAAAAACATGGAGAGTTGAGTTACTAAAGGGAGATAACTGAGATATTCAGAAAAGACATAGCACATGGAACTAAAATAATCTACCCCTGTAGACAAAATAAAGGGCTTGGTTCAAAATTCCAATGTATATCATCCGAGGAAGGCTAGAGTGTACAATGGCCAAAACATTGTGAATATGACGAAAATGAGGTCAACAGTCTGAACAACATAAATAGTTACAATACTGCATCTCAGAAATATAGACAGTTATTTTTTTTTTTTTTTAATATGTAACTTTGAGATTAAAAATGGCATCACAAGATAAAGTGGGATTACAATATTACAAACAAAATCATATATGAGATACAACAAAATAAACATAGAAATAAAAATGATAAATTTCTTCAGTATACATTTCAGAGAAATGATTGTATGTTTTATAGAACATACACATATGCATAAATAAATAAATTTTGCTTATCTGTTGGTGGCAACATGTTTTATCCACAGATTGTTCAAATGTCAGCCTTCTGTTGCAGTTGAAAACAAAGAAAGTTTTCATTTATATTTCTGTTAGCAGTAAAACATTAGTTCCAATGCATCATGGGAGTATTCTATATTTTTTAATGTTTTTTTTATAATCTAACTTTATCTCTTTAATTGTTAATTACCATTTTTATCTGTATTTTAAAGTATTTTTTATTGCTTAACTTTTAATTTTTTTTTATTATTAATTATTTTGATTCCAGGCTACTAGTCTGATAATAAGGGTTAGAGCAGGGTTTCCCAACCTGGGCGATATCGCCCACCGGTGGATGATTTCAACTGTTGGGTATGCAATGAGAAGCTGAACAGAAAATAGACAATTGGAAATTCTTTATCGATATAAGATTTTATATTCACAGGAGAAATGCAAAGAAACTGTATGAAAAGAAATCTGGAGATTTATTGCGAGTAACTGAATCACATTCCTAGATGACTTAAAATATTCTGGCAAACAACGAACATTTTGGTATTTTCTTTTGTTTTGAGAAGGGTCATTAACATTCAAATAGTTCTTCAGAAGATATAATATTTTTTCGGATATAAATCAGATAAGAGAAAACAAACAGAAAAATATTTCCTGAATATTTATTAGTTGCCAGTAGTGTTTATTCTTTTTTTACTTTTGTATTATGAACAAAAATCGTTTAAATTTTTATCAACATTCCATCGCTAACTCTAGCCATAAAACTAACCTTAACCATAAAAAATAAATTATATATATATATATATATATATATATATATATATAATATATATATATATATATATAACTTTTAATAGTAAAGTTTGTTTGTTCTTTTATAGGGTAGTAGAAACTGCAATATAAGTCAGTGTTATTTAACTGCCTTTTGGTATTTTTTACTACATCATCAAGTCAGTTTACGAACCAGTAAAAAAACTTTTATCAAACAATTGTGGTATGTTTTTGAATAGTTACAATACAGGTGGGCAGTGGATGATTTTTCCATGTGAAAATAGGCAATGATGCAAAAAAATTTGGGAACCCGCTGGGTTAGAGGGTAATTTATTAGTAATTCTTTTATCACTATCACTTTTATGCTATCACTAATGTATATAGAAGCAGAGTAAAGGAAAAATTGATCCAATTGTAAATGTATTTTAAATAGAATTTTACACAGGAGTTTTCTTTGTTTTTTAGTGTATGAATGCTACCATAATTCCTGTTTTCACAATTTGTTTATATTTATTTAATATTTTCCATCTGACTTCAGCCAACAACATCACATGTATGACAGGACAAGTGAAATGTCCTAATAACAATATTTGTCTCTCTTCACGTTTCTTGTGCGATGGAGATAACGATTGTGGTGACCACTCAGATGAAAATGTCATGTTTTGTCAAAGTGTAACTTGCTTCCCTGGTAAGTAGCTGGGCATTTCCCTTTTTTCCTGCTTCTGTTATAGTCTATTGAAAATCCCACTCTGGGATATTTTCTTATATTGGTGGGGGAGATATTGTATATACTCACATATCATGCAACCTTTGAAGACTTTATTTTGAAGCTAATTTGATTACAGTAAATGGACATATAGTTTGGTCAACAGGGTAGCCAGGGCCAGCATTATATACGCTAATGTTATATCTCATCTATGATGTGACCCCCTTAAAATCAGCTTCAAAATTAGGTCTTCAAAAGTTGCATGATAGGTGAATATATACAATATCTATCTATCTATTATAGTCTGTTAATTATCTATCTATTACAGTCTGTTAATTATCTATCTATCGCAGTCTGTTAATTATCTATCTACTGTATATACTCGCATATTATATGACCTTTGAAGACCTAATTTTGAAGCTAATTTGATTCCAGTAAATGGACATATAGTTTGGTCAACAGCATAGCCATGGCCAGCAGTTTATATACTAATTCTATATCTCATCTATGATGCGACCACCCCTTTAAATTAGCTTCAAAATTAGGTCTTCAAAAGGTACATGATACGTGAGTATATGTGGTGTATATTTAGGGGAAAAAGCGTGTGAAAGGCAAATAAATTGTAGCAAATAAAAATAATCTTTAAACACAGCTCTACAAATTTAAATAATTTTTATTATTGAGTATAAAAGCAATCTTTGTTTTCTTTCAAGTTGAAAGAAACAAAGAAATGAGTTTCAAATTCCTCACAAAGTTCCAGGGAAAAATATTTTGTTTTTCTTTTTTGACAACACAACAGAAATGATTTGTGTTAGTATGAGTGAAAGGCTGTATGTGACTACATGATGTTAGTCACATATTTGTGTTGTTTTATATGTGTGTAAATTTCCAGCAATCAGCACTGTTACTGTTGCTAATATTCATTTGTTTAAATATCTTTTTTGTGTTGAATAATATATTTTAAAAATGAGATGCTATTTTCAAGAAGATACACGATAATTATTCAAAAGTAGTGAGTAATCAGCACTGCACAACCCTGGACCAAAAAACTGAAAATAGATTTTGTGAATTTACACTATGACATTTATAAGAAAAAATAGCCTGAAGGAAGCTAAATTTAGTTTCACTAAATTCAGAAGTTTAATGGTTAATAAATATATTTCCCAATTTTTTAATATCTATTTTTAGTAAGGAAAATATTATTCTTTTTCTCGAGTGAGCTTTCAATTGTAATGAGCAACAAAGAATATTGTTGTCTGTTTTTCAAAGCCGACATAGAGTTTGGGATAACGTTGGTGATTGGGTAATAAATGCTAATGTGAAAATAAGAATACGGAGCCTGTTTTGCACAAAAAACTAGTCAATTTCTGTGTGAGCCAATCTTGGCAAGCGTTGTAATTTTTGGTGATATTGCTTAAATATATTGATTTTTTTTACTACAATTTTAAGTGGTGTTCCACCTATATATATATATATATATATATATATATATATATATATTTATATAAAAATTTATTTTATATTATAAAAAGGTTTGTTAAAAATAACAACACAAAAATTTAACAAAGTTTAATTTATTTCCAATGTCAAATGTTAAGACAATTTAAAATATTTTCCAATGTCAAATGTTAAGACAATTTAAAATATTTTCCAATGTCAAATGTTAAGACTATTTAAACTCTTTCCCACCATCAATTGTTAAGACAATTTAAAATCTTTTTCTCCATTAATTAAGACAATTCAAAATCTTTTCCAATGTCAGTAGTTAAGACAATTTAAAATCTTTTTCTCCATTAATTAAGACAATTTAAAATCTTTTCTAATGTCAGTAGTTAAGACAATTTAAAATCTTTTCTACCATCAATTATTAAAACACAAGTTAAAATCATTTATTTATCATGAATTATTAAAAGAAATATGGATATCTCTGAATATTTAAAGATTGAAGATCTTTAAATATTCAGACACATCCATATTTCTTTTAATAATTCATGATAAATAAATGATTTTAACTTGTGTTTTAATAATTGATGGTAGAAAAGATTTTAAATTGTCTTAACTACTGCCATAAGCAGAGACTATTATTGGATGCAAATCCAAAACTTGTCCTTGGACATGGTTCTCTAGGCAATACACTTTGGGTGCACCCACTGTAGACAATAGTCACAGACCACAGAATCCATATTGTTCAAGACCTGTCTACACTGTTCACACAACTTTGCTGATGATCTCAAGGCCCTATAAACATGATACTGATAATAAACTTATGTGTTATTATTTTTAACATTAACTGCCTTCATAATAATAAAAATATTTGCCGGCACAATAGCCTGGATCGGTAAAATAAGCTTAAAAGAATGTTTGTCTATTTTACCAGGACAGGCGAAATAACCTATTTGTATTTTATTTGATGCACACAATAATCAGGGCATCAATTAAACAAATTAGTAGTAAATAATCAACAGTGCCTTTTTATAGTCATCTGTATCTTTCATTATTGTCAACTAAAAGTGTTTTTGAGCTTGGTCAGTACCTAGATGGGGTCTGTTTGGGAATATGAGGTGCTGTAAACGTGAACATGTGGATGATGGAACGAATAAGGGCTGAGAATGAGAAACCTGACTACCAATTTTGAATTTCCATCAACTTTGTTATATTCACTTACATGCAAATATCCTTCAGAAAGGTTTGAATTCATCTCGTCTCCTCCCAGCTATCGGTAAAATAGCAGGACAGACTGTGTTCTATAGCTAAGGAAGGAAAACTGTTTTTTACATTTACATAAGTTACAAAGTAATCATTCTAAGTAACTGGTTAATCAAAATAAGTGCTGTACAGTTTTATTAATTTTGCATTTTGTTTTTCCTGTTCAGATGACTTCTATTGTTCAAATAAACATCATTGCATCCCTGGTGCCTGGCATTGTGATGGAGATGATGACTGTGGGGACATGGAAGATGAACCACCCTCTTGTAGTAAGCCTTTATTTTGACTTCTTTCAGATTGCCTTTACAAGAATGGAACAATAAGTCTGTAGCCTGATATAGAAGCATTAGACAAATTTTTCATCTGGAATTTTCACTGTATAATGTTTTAATATGATTAATATTCAACTCTGAATTATTTTTTTTTTATTCTCAAAGCACAAATTTTATCAATTTATCTCGATGAAGATCTTGCAATTTTATTAAAACACAATCTCCAGATCATTCATATATCCAGGTAAGATGAGAATGGATGGAGTACAATTCCAACGTTCATAACATTTAATTTAAAATCATTCACACACACACACACACATATATAATGTCAAATGGGTTTATTCTTTTATATATATATATATATATATATATATATATACACATACAGTGCTGTTTGATAAAAGTGACTCACCTGATTTTTTTACTTAAAATTTTTTTGCCTATTGTTTTTGGGGTCAAACTAATTTTTGATCTTACTAATATAAAGACCCCTTCCCGACCACCTAGTAAAAAAGTTTACTCACCCTAAGATATTCTATTGATAATTATAATTTTGGATATAAATTTAGAGAAAAACTCTGTGCAAAAAAAGTGACTCACTTATTTCCTGCAACTAGTAATCAATAGAAACATAACCAAACAGCTTTAAATAAAGAATAATAGAGGTATAATTTATTTATAATAGATAATATAGTTTGAAATATTTAATAATCTATGGGTCCTCCTTTATTTTGAATAACCTTTTCAACCCTTTTTGGCATTGACTTGATTAGGTTCTGGCAAATCTCATCAAGCATTGAATTCCATTCGGATATGAAATTGATAATCAAATCCTCTTTGTTGCTCAGCTGTTTTCTCGAGAGCCTGTACTTTATAATGCTCCGTAAGTTTTCTATGGGGTTGAGGTCAGGAGATGGGGCGGCCATGTTGCAACACTCACCTGCTTCTCATCAAAGTATTCCTTCATCAATTTTGATTTGTGACAGGGAGCATTATCCTGCATAAAAAATGAGCTTGGTGGGGTCGATTTGCACCCTTTCAGCAGAAGGCAGCAGACAAGACTCTAAAATTCTCTTGTACTGCTCACTCCTGAGGGTCTTTTCAATAGGTTTTAAGAAACCAGTTCCATGAGAAAAAAAGCATCCCCCAGAACATTATACTGAACGGATGCTTGACAGTACTTACTGCTAAATTCAAAGAGCTTTCAAAGCTTCTTCTTTGGATTTTAGATCGCGTATCCTTTGAATTTAGCTCAACTTTCGTTTCATCGGAGAAGAGAACATTCTTCTACAGTGAAATTTTTGTAATAGTAAGCCCATTCAAGTCTCTTGGCTTTGTTGGCTTTGCTTATTAGTGGCTTAAACCTTCGTGTACAAGATTTGTAGCCTTGTTCTAACAGCCACCGACAGACTGTTTGAAGAGGCAAGACTAACACCTTGCTCTTCGCTTAGACTGGTTGCAATTTCTTGGCTAGTTATAGTCCTATTCTTCACAACTTCTCTCTTGATTACCCTGCCAGTTCTATCATCAATCGTTTTCTTTCGTCCCCTTGTTTCCTTCCTTGGAGCAGGAGTGGCATCATTATGTGCCCTAAGCACTTGAGAGACAGTTGATTGCGAGGTTATAGCAATTTCTGCAATTTCTCTCGTAGACTTGCCTGCTTTTGAGAGGACAATAGATGCCTTAAGTGGTTCTGAGTGGCTATTTCAAGCTGTTTTTATACTGTATGAGGCTTTCTGGAATATTCTAGATTTAATTTAAGCTGTTCTAGAATTCTCTAGAATATTGTTCTGAGTGTATTTTAAAATAGTTTTCAATATTTTGTCAAAAGCTCTTTAAATTTACCAGTTTAATCATTAGAATGTGATATCTGAGTTACTTCTTTTGAGTTTTTTCCTGAATCTTATTTATATCCAAAGAATAGAATCCAATAGAATACCTTAGGGTGAATAAACTTTTTTCCTAGGTGGTTTGAAAGGGGTCTTTATATTAGTAAGATTGAAAAAGTATTTTAACACCAAAAACAATAGACAAAAAATATTTTTAGTACAAAAAATCAGGTAAGTCATTTTTATCGAACAACACTTCATATGTATGTATATATATATATATATATATATATATATATATATATATAAAGAAATATAGTTTTAAGGTGTGCTATATTTATGGGATAAAGTGCTCGATATCAGAGATAGAGCGTATGTAAATATATAAATAAAAGTGAACATTGAGGTCAACACTCAGAGGTGACAGGCTGTTTCATGCTAGGTGCAATAGTCAGGCCACCTGGCGATTACGCCTAGCATGAAATAGCCTGTCACCTCTCTGGGTGGACTTCCAATGTTCACTTCATATATATATATATATATATATATGAACCCATTTCATGACACATTGCTTCAGTTGTCGAGGAATGAGTAGTGACCATTTCAAAATTTTGAATGGATACCAAAGGAGCACTGTAATTGCATCGTATCTCCAACTATGTTCAGTTGTTTGTTTACTCCCAGAATGGTGAGTCCTGAGCAAAAGGAGATCTGTGTTCTTGAGTTTGCAAAAAACAAATGCAGTTTTCATTGGAGTGCGTGTCTGTGTGAAAGGAAAAAGTCCAGGACAACCACAATTTTCGAGGAACAAGTGGCAAGAATCCATTTTGCATTTGAGGGGAGTCCACAAAAGTCCAAAAATCGAACTAGCCATGAGCTTGCGATCTCTCAATCCAGTATCTGGTGTGTGCTAAGACATCTACATTTGAAACCTTACAGACTATGCCTCATTCATGCACTTAACAAGACTTTTAAGAAGACTTAACAAGATATTGCATTGATGTTGCCCGTGATGTAGGTGGTGGCCACTTGTAAGACAGGAAATAAAAAGTTGATTGTAAGTAGAACACTTGTGACTTCTCTGGAGTTTTCTATTGCTTTTCCCTATTAAAATATTGCATAATGAAATTGGTTCATTCTTTTGCATTAAACCTTTATATGTTTAGTTAAAAGCGATTGAGAAGGTACTGTGAATAATCTTTTTATTTAATTTACAAAAAGAATTAAATAAAAAGCTTAACCGCAGTACCTTGTTAGTCGTTCTTAACGAAACATGTATAAAAGAAGGATTGCTGCCCAAATATATACACACACACACACACATATACTGGGTCTCATGGGAGGAATGCTAAATTACACACAAATTCACAAATCAAATTTAAAATGAGTTAAATATAATATCGAGATATAAATACAGAAAATACGGTGTAGGTGGGGGGGTGCATTCTAAAAAAAGAAAGTTTAAAAGAGGAATGCCGAGTAACACATTAAGCGATAATAGACATTAAAATGGTTAAAGGTGGGTAATCAGTATATAACCTAAAATATTTGATTTACCAACCTCTCTCTCTGTCACTCACTCTCTCTCTCTCTCTATATATATATATATATATATATATAATTGTTGCAAAATAAAATCCTCACATTTGCCTTAATAAAATCCATCAAAGAACGAAATATGTTGGCCAAGATAAGTTTTCCTTTTGTCTTTATTCATATATACACACACACACACACACAAAAAAAAACGAACACAGAGGAAAATTTCCCCTTCCCACCACCAAACATAATCAAATACAAACAAGCATAAATAGATCCAGTTTTAAAAAATACACCAATTTGTCTAATGATTGCAACAGCGTGAAACCCAGAGTCACAAACTCATATTCATACAACTGAATATGTATATATATATATATATATATATATATACACACACACACACACACACACACACACACACATGGTTCAATCCACTGCATTTAATAATTCAGTTTCTTTGGTTTAATTAACTCCTCCTAAACAAGGGCATCCTGGGTATGACGATAAAATACATCTGCATCCTGGGTATGACGATAAAGTACATCCAACAACAAGGCTTCAGATAATGTTTTCCGAAAAATAATGTTACCAGCTATAAGTTTTTGAAACAATAATGTTGCCAGCTATACATTTTTTGGAAAAAATAATGTTGCCAACTATGTGTTTTTGAAACAATAATGTTGCCAGCTATACGTTTTTTTTGGTAAAAACATTGTTGCCAGCTTTGCATTTTTGAAACAACATTGTTGCCAGCTATGCGTTTTTGAAACAACATTGTTGCCAGCTATGCGTTTTTGAAACAACAATGTTGCCAGCTATATGTTTTTGAAAAAAATAATGTTGCCAGCTATACGTTTTTTGGAAAGAATAATGTTGCCAGCTATACGCTTTTGAAACAATAAAACAAACAAACAGCTATATGTTTAATATTACTGTATATTTAATATATGTATATATATATATATATATATATATATATATATATATATATATGTGTATGTCTATATATATATATGCCTTAATTTGGCATTAAATGACCCACAGTGGTTGATATGCCATAAAACCCAACCAACCAACCTAAACAAGGATGATTAAACTATTAAACCCATTTGTGCATGACATCCTTTAGAGGGGGCCATACTTAAAATCTGCCATTATTACCATTATCCAAAAAGATAGATTAGACAAAAAAGAACTAAAGTTTTAAAGAGACTTTATGCAGATAAGGGTTAATTTTATTATTATTATTGAATATATGATAAAAACCTTTTGGGAAGAGAAAGTCCCTTTGAGAGAGATAGTTGATCAAACCTATATTCCTATACAAAAAATGTCATTTAATCTGACGTACTATACCATTTAGCTATAGAAAAGTGTCTGGTTAGCAAATTACTGTATAGAAACACACAATCTTCGATGATTTTTCTCAATTGATCATATCTGATCACAAAATGTATCTTAATGTAAACAGAAAATATATTAAATAATTGCAAGACACAGTCAATTTCATTATATGTTGTCATTGTTTACATTAAGTTAAATTTCATGAGCAAATATGATTGATCGAGAAAAATCATCAAAGATTGTGTGTTTAAAAACATTAATTTGGATTTTGCTAACCAGGCGCTTCCCTGTAGCTAAATGACATAGCACATTAGATCAGATGATTGTTTCTGTATAGGAATAGAGGTTCGATACCTTTCAGAGAATGCATATTTTCTACAAAATTTCTGGAACATTCAGGCCACTAAATGTAATTAATACTGTTCAATTAAAAACAGAGTATTTTAATCAATTTCATTATATATATATATATATATATATATATATATATATATATAAGGCAGTTTGGAAAATTTGTACTTTGACATGATTTGCAATGAATTGATGTCACCAGAAAAAGAAATTTTTAGTTTTATTAATTTACATATCTCACAAGTTTCAGTAATTAATTTAGTAAGAATTGATAAACTGAAATGATTGTTGCAATAGAATTACTTTGAAAATCAGGAAGAAAGGGATTGTCAGTGGTCAGGAATGAATGTAAGCATTACTGATAGAATAGGGCTATTATATGTATCATATAAATGCATTGCTAATGATTTTACTATAAAAATGCATTGAAAATCAGGAAGAAAGGGATTGTCAGTGGTCAGGAATGAATGTATAATGAAAATACATTGAAAATCAGAACAAAATAATATTTTACTGCCAGACTTTTTGAAAGTCGCAAATATTCTTGGGGTTTTTTTTTTGTTTTTCTTATTGATAAAGAAACATGCTGGTAAAATGAAACAATGCAATATGGGGATTTTTCCTTTAAAAACAAACGAGATGTATTTCATCTAATCTTTTCTATTTTAAACATGTTTTTCTTTTCTTCTCCTCTGATGTCTTTGGTTACCCACTTGACAAAATTTCTTTCTTCAGGTAATGAGAATCGAACATGCTATGGCAACTTGTTTACATGCAACAATGGCAAATGCATTTCTCAACACTGGGTCTGTGATGGAGATAATGATTGCTTAGATGGTTCTGATGAAGCTGAAAATCTTAACTGTGGTGAGTAGCCCTTCCCTGAGCTGAACATTTTCTCTTGAATTTTTGAATACATGGTTTTTGTTGGTTAGAAAATAATTTTGCACTGCTTCACGAAAACCTTTTTCTCGAATTTGTGGGTGGGGTGAAGGAAGTTATTATTCCTATTTTGTAAATGATCCAAAAATAACATGGTAGGTGTACAACTATGTCCACAAGTATTTTGGTGTTATTTGCCCTAGCAATGATTGTTTATCAAACAAACCTTCTGATGGGATTTTATTGGTGAAAAATATATATAGAATTTAATTCCTATAAGGTATTTGAAACATTTAGCATTTACTAATTTCACATCCTGAATTTTCTATGATGGATTCTGGGTAGGTGTCATCACTGCTTTTAATTCTAATTCCAGATCATAATTTTTGTTTTGTACAGATTTATCTTGAGAGCATAAAAATTTGAGCCATGTTCTTAATGTTATGGTCCAGGTTAGGACCAAGGAAGAACAACACGAACACAAGAGTAGAAATAACGAAGGTATATTACACAAAATAATAATACAAGATGTGGAAGGTATTAGTATGACTGTCAGTCTGGTTTGGAGTGAACTACTATTGGCTCAACTCAATTCGACATTTACTTGTCCCAAACCCCCACCCACACCAACACCACCATCATCACCATGAGGGAAAGATGAGGCACAAGGCCGAGTTTTACGTGGATTTTCTAAGCCTGTAGGCTCGGCAAACAAATACCCGTAGAAACTGTAAAAACAGAATCGGGTTGGTCAACCTCCCTGGACGAGGCTCTACCCATTAGCAGAGCCTCGTCCCGGTTTCTCTCTTCTCAGAGGCAGAGAGTTCGACCATCGAAACGGCTCGACTCGATTCGACCCTCTCTCTTGAAAGGCGTAGTATAGTGTTAGGAAGAGTTCATTCTGTAGTTATAGGTAAGGACCCATGACACTTAAATAGCCTCTTCAGATTGACACTTTGATATCAATATCATACATACAGAAATACCTAAAATGTCAGCTGTATACAAACACTTTTTAAGATTAACAGTTAAAATTGATTTAAGTGAGTGAAGGCTGTGGATCTTGGTGAAGACCATCCTTGTTCGGACATTGTGCGCTGGTACAACAGAATGACACACAACTGTTCCAAGTAGCAGAAACCACATCGATTGAAGAGTTTTAACAGCAGCAACAGCTAAAATGCATAGCACATGTAACTCGAAGAGCAAATAATAACATAATCAAGATGTTGATGTTCCACACTACTTCAAACAAAAGGTTAGGAAGGAAACCCCCATCAGTACTGGAAAGAGCAATAACAGTTACTGGACTTGAGAAAACTATTTTCCTGAAAAATTATCTTGATAGAAAGATTTTATAAATTTCAACCAACTACAACACTAACTATTCGGTCAATGAATACCAAATGTTTCCTTATCAGGAAATGGTTAATATTACCATTTTTTGGAATACTTGGTAGAGGAGAGTGATTTTTTTTTTTTTTGTTTGAGATCATTCTTATGCCAACTATGAATGCCTATGTCATCAGCATCCTTATACATTATTCTTCGATTGGATAACAGGAACCCTGTTGCCATAATCAATTGATGCCATAAACCTTATTTCTGAGCTTGATTATCAGAAAGTCTCTAGCAGAACATCTCTTTTGTTGGAATGGTTTTACCCTTGGTACAGGAGGGGGTCAGAGGGTCAGATTTTTTTTGGTGGGGGGTTACATGTAAATTTTTATACATTAGAAATTGAGAATAAACTCTTCGCTTATCTTCCTTTGAACTTGTATTTATAATTTCACTTTAAAAATCTTGGCATTAAAAATCAAATAGTCTGAATAATGTAAATAGTGTACATAATACCTCATCTCAGAAATATAGACAGATACTGAAGGGTGATAAATATGGCAACAAAGATGAGCACAATAGTCCAAGTAATGTAAATAGTGTAAATAATACATCATCTCAGAAATAGAGACAGATACTG